CCAGGCTGGTCTTGAACTCACAGAGATCCACCTGCCTCTGCCTCCCGAGTGCTGGGACTAAAGGCATGTATCACCACTGCTTGGCCCTAACTTCATTTTTTGAGACAGGTTTTCTCTGTGTAGCCTTGGCTAGAACTCTGAAGACCAGAGTAGCCTCGAACTCAGATCCACCTGTCCCTGCCTGCTGAGTGCTGGTATTAAAGGTGTGCACCACCACTGCCAGGCTCACTTGTACACTTATTTACATAAGAAATCCTACAATAATTTATGTGTTGGTGCTATTAATATTGTCACAAGGAGCTCAGAATCCCTTGCCCAATTAGTCATTATCACAAAATTTGTTATTACAAAATTTTGAGCTGATAATGTTTATAATCCAAGTACTTCAGCAACCAAGGCAGGGGAGGAGGTTGTTGTGAGTTCCAGGCTAACCTGGGTCACAACATAGTGAGACACCCCCCCCCCCAATCAAAGAAAGATAGAAAGAAAGAAAGCAGTAGGAAGAGGGTGATTTGCATATTTGGAGTCAAGATATAACAACATGAAAAAGTACAATGAACTTAATATCAATTATTTCATCTGTTGAATGTCAGGAAATAAGGAAATCATTCTCAGTTGAAAAGCAGTAATATACAAAGGAAACCTCCCTGGGAAATAAAAGGAAGACTTCTGTTTCCAATTTCATTTGAAAATTCAGAGGTATATGAGGCATAATAATACCAGTTTGGACTCTGGGTGAGTCCGGCATATGGGCACAAAGAACATGTAGCAGAGAGTATTGATCTGAGGGTTAGATGCCTATGAATCACATTTTCTGAATTGAAAATGTGTTTTTCTTTGTGAAACTAGACTTGTCCATCTAGAATGACAGGATTTCACATGGTCTTTTGCAGAGCACTGATATTTCTACAGTGCCTCCCAGGGTTAGAACAGTGGGGGAAATATATAGTAAGGAATAAGAGCAATTCAGGCCAGAATTCAGAAAACTTTGACTTCTAACAACATTTAAGCTCTTACCACACACCCCTGGGTGTATTCTAAGGACCAAGGACATTGTCTGAAAAACTATGATAGATGTTCAACATGTTTCTGAAGGCTTATCATGATACTGACAAAAAGAAGGAACAAGGGGTCAGGCATGATACTTTATGCTTGTAATCCCAGCTTTTGGAAGGGTAAGGTAGAAGGATTTGCTTGTGTTCGTGACTAGGCTGAGCTGCACAGTGAGTTCCAGGCCATCCTAGGTCACAGTGTAAAACTCTGTCTCACTCTCACTGAAAGAAAGGGGGAGTACAGAAGGGAGGGATGGAGGGAGGGGGAAGGCTTTCTATTAAGAACAAGAGTTGGGAAAATGTAGGAAACCATGAAATAAAATTGAAGAGGTTACATTGAAACACACAAGTGGTGCCATTAACATGACATGAGAGGTGTTAGAAAGAATAGCTAAGCATTTTCCAATTCCTATTGGAAAAAGAGGTAGGGTGGTAGAAAAACAGTATTATGTCACATAATTCTCTTGTAATCCAGAGGGTGGCACTCAGTAGCTTGAAGAGCTGGATTGGTTGCTGCCAGGAAAGCCTAGAGAAGTGTTGCAGAATTTGTTTTTTTTTTCTTTGCATTCATATAGCATCCTCGACTAGTTGTTATATTTAGCTAGGACTAGTTACAAGCCATCTACTGTCTGGCCTTTTTTTAAAGATTTTATTTATTTATTAATTTATTATGTATACAACATTCTGCTTCCATGTATATATGCACACCAGAAGAGGGCACCAGATCTCAGTTGCTGGAAATTGAATTCAGGACGTCTGGAAGAGCAGTCAGTGCTCTTAACCTCTGAGCCATCTCTCCAGCCCCTGTCTGGCCTTCTTAAGATAGGAGAGGGTTGAGGAGGCACAAATGTTATCTGAAATTGACTGGCTAATTTATAGGAAAGCTGTAGATTTTCCTTTGTTTCCTTAGCTTCTATTTTCCTCTGAAATTGAAGCATGGATAAAGCAAACAAAAGCTGTTAAAGAGGAAAACACAGGTGCTTTTTATGGTCTGACTGGTTCACGGTATTTGAATGAAGCCATTAACACCATCTCTTCATAAGAGAAACAGCTATGTATAGAGGAAGATGAAAACTGCTTTTAAACATGCTTGGCTTGGAGATTCATGATATATAGACAAAATTGGTGTGTTGGTTTATCTTTGTACATATATCACTCGAGTAAATACCCATATAGTAGTTTAAAAGTCCTTATTGAAAACAATAACTGGACCAGGATTGGAAATTTTTTGAAGCTGTAGAAGTATGCTGATAATCACCAAAATAGGACAGGTTGGAGAGGCCGAAAGAAATAGATTCACTTACATGAAGGAAGGGAAAGTACTTATAGGAAGTAGGCAGCTAGTTTCGGGAATAAATGATGTTCTTTTCTGTGAGTAGATTAACTTAGAATGTTTTAGTAACTTTAGTATAAATTTAGTCTGAAAAACTGTTTATATAGGTGAAACCAAGTGTACATGTCATACTCTGTACATATAATGGGGTCAGTATTGTTCTAAAAACTATTTTCCCTTTGTATCTTTTCTAGATATGGATCGATTCATAAACAACTTGGAGGCCCAACTTAATTCAGAAAGTGATTCAATGCAGGTATACAAACAGGTGAGCTTTGTGAGTTGAATATCTCTTAAGCGTTGTAGAATTGAAGTCCCATTTTCAAATGATAAGTATGGAAAATGAGAAGGGATAAAAAAGGAAACTTTTTCCAGAATTAATTTAATGTTTGGGTGTGAATTTCAACTATCTGGCCTTAAAGAAATAGGTTCATATTGTTCCTGTAGTCTTTGGTGAAGAACTATGATCATTTATTTAGCACTATCCCAAATTTCAGATATGGTAAAGATTGTGTGCTTTGTTTAATTTCTTCAGTAGCCATGTTGAACAGTGTATTAGAGTTTTCTAAGGAGGTATCCTGTTGTCTCTGTTAACTGTTTCCCTGGAGAACCCTGGCTAATACTTTGGGAGAAAGAGAGAGAATATAAAAAAGGATAGAGACATGCATACATATATTAATTTTAAGGAAGCTGACTCCTGTGATTATAGAGGTATGGCAAGTCCAAAACGGACTGGCTAGATCAGAGTTAGAAAGAGTTCGTACTTTGTGTCCTTATGTGGCATATGAGTTTAGGTGCTCTGGAGGCCAGAGTCATTAGAATCTTTTGAAGCTAGAGTTATAGGTGGTTGTGAGCTGCCCACCATGGTAATAACAAATTCATTCTCACAGAATCCTAGAAGCAGAAGTCTCAAAGCACGTTGTTACCACTGCCCTGGACCATCAAATTGTCATATCAGTTGTCACAGAGAAATGGTTCCTTGACTTTTCACACACCTAGTAGATACAGGCATTCTTTGTCCTAGGACCCTATCAGTCTGGTGTGTTCACATCACCTTATTTTGCAGATCCTATAAAGAACTGAATTCCACCCCCTAGGTAATCCAGAGTGGTTGTTTTAAGATCCATAATTCTATCTGCAATTATTCCTTTCCCAAGTAGGTGATTTTCATTGATTCTGGATACTAGGGTGTGGATAGATCTTTTCTGGGTGACCATCCTTCTGCTTGGTATAATATGTTACAACAAGCATATAGTTGTTAAAATAAAAGCAGTCATTATATATATATATATATATATATATAGTGCATATATATATTCTGTGGTTTTATTTCTTTGGGTTTTTAAAAAAAATTTGTTTGTTTTGTGTTTTTTTTTGAAAGGCTCTTGTCATGTAGTCTAGACTGACCTGGAACTTAACATCCTTCAGCCTTCGTCCCCTGAGTTATGGTATTACAGATGTGTGCATTTTTTTTAAATCTTGCCCCACCCCCAGGTGTTTTTTGTTAGCATTCTAGTCTCTTTAACTTGTCACGTTCATTAGTTTGTATAAAGAGGAATTGTTCAATAGTGCTTTATTCCCTAATATTATTGAGATGGTGAATATATAAGATTCAAAATTCCTCTAGGTTTAGATTAAATTTATCTTTTTAATAATATTCATCTCCATCCATTTTTTTCTAATACTGAAACACATCATGGCATTATTGGAGAAGGATTGGAATTTCAGAGGGTTAAACTGGCTTTTCCACCAAAATAATGAATGTGCATAATATATGTGTACCCACACACAAGTGCACCCAGGCATGAAAATGATTAGTCTAAACCCAGAGCAAAGCTAGAAGAGACCTGTGTACAAAAACAGCTTTTATCTTTCTCTTGGGGAGGAGCCTGGGTTTTATCTTGTTACCATGACAACACTCCTTCCTCTCCTTTCTACTTACTGCGCTGCCTGCAGTATTTTGTTGTTTCATTTTCTTTCTTGTCTTGCCTTCCTAGTTTAAAGCTCCGCATCAGAGCTATTTCAGATAAATGAGAAGTAACAATTTAGTTTTCCTCAGTTGATTTCCGCTAGTCTACTGAAGTCAAGGCTATCTTCATCACATGTTTAAGAGCTTAAATACTTATAAAAGTGACCACTTTTTCTTCTGGATTTCTTTGTAGAATTGCCTTTCTCCATGGTCTATGCTAATTTATCAATAATGAATTTAAGAAAAATGCCAATTCACAATTCTTGTTTGCCTCTTATATTTTTGACAGTGCACTATACCTCAGCCTTATGAAATACAGAAGTCTCATTGAAGAAAAGTCATAGGAAAATACGTAAAATGATTTGTTTAATAATTTATCCTCCATGTCCAGTTTGGTTAGCTTGTTATACAATATAAGTGAAATACCAGGCTTTTTTCCCCTGTGCACTTTTTTATCATTAAAATTAACACAAAATGTAAAAAAAAGAAAATAAAAAAATGCCAATTCAAATGCTCTTTTATTTTAAAGGCTTGATTAGGATCCTGGGCATGTAAAGAGGACTATGAGAAGTAAAACATCTTTAAAGCGACTTCCAAGTTTTTGGACTTTTCCATGTACAACTTTCTTCACAGAATCAGAAAGCCTGGAAAGTGGTAGCTTCAGGCTTTAAAATAGCAAATGGGGAAAGTAGCCATTCTCTTTCTTTGAAGAGTGGTTAATTATTGACTAGAGAACACTCAACCTGAAACTGCCCCACAGTATTGAAGAAGGAAAAAGATGAGTTAAGCAGAAAAATCGCATGGCAGAGCTTTACATCAGTTTCCATGTGAGCTCTCAAACCTGGAGTTTTTATGTTCGTTGAAGAATAGAATATGGAGCTACTCCTTAGGCAGTCACCATAATCCTGGGCTGTAAACTCATTCCTTAACATTCTTCTTCAGAGTCTCCAAGTGGAACTTGCTGTGTAGAATGAGAAAAGAAAGTGGATAGTGCCTGTTTATTGTTGTTTATTTGATTTTCCTTTTTTACCATAGTGATTGTTTTATACAAAATACAGAATAAATCATACTGCACATCAGGATTCTTACTACAACTATTTTGATCACATGTAAAAGGTAATCACTGGTACACACAAGCAAAAGCATTGCTTATACTGGTGGATAAATATGGAATAATTGTCTTTAAGTCACAAAAGTAAGAGGAGCTTTGATGGCTGCATTTAACTGCAGTACAGTTTTTTAAGGAGCTTGCTTGTAGAAGGACTGACACACAGGAAATACTTGCGATAGGCCATATTCATGTCAGTATAATAAGTACATGTGAAATCAGTATGTCCAGATGGAAAATGTGATGGTATTCTTTATGGAAGATATTAAAACACTAGGGCCTAAATAACCACCTTCTAACATTTGTCTCAAAGCCATGTGATGATAACGAGAGAGAGAGAGAGAAAGAGAGAGAGAGAGAGAGAGAGAGAGAGAGAGAGAGAGAGAGAGACAGACAGACAGAGAGACAGAGACAGAGACAGACATGACAAGCACCATGGCAGAGAGTTTCAGTAAAAAATTGAGAATCTATAAGCAGGCCCAACCAAGTTTGAACATGGCCTGTGACATTGGCTCTTATCGAAGCAATAAGCAGGTATTTGTTTCTATACTTTATTCCGTTTCCATTCTGGATATTCCTGAGTAATATTCAGGAGTAGCTGTAGATCGAGGACCAGCTCAGCACAAGCCCTTGTGCTGATAGCATTTTTTGTGGGTAGCACTCTGTTCTAAAAATGGCCTTGGCCAAAGAGGAAATTTACAAAATAGTCTCCACTTTATATTTGAGACTCAGAATTCTGGCATCCTTAGAATTCCAGACCTAAAACATAGACCCTAGAAATCCCATTGAAAAATTTAACTAGGTACTTCCTTATTGTATCTACTTATACATCAGCACCAATTATCTTCTTATAGAAAATAATATATGTAGGGCTGAGGAGATGCCTCAGTGGTTAATAGTATATACTGCACTTGCAGAGGATCTGAATTCAGTTGCCAGCATTCATATTAGGCAGCTCACAACCACATGTAATTCCAGGTCCAGGCAATTCAATTTCTCCATGCTTCTTCATATGCTTGCTTCCATCATTTCAGAAGCAATCTCATGCAGTCCATAATAATGTGTGGATTAACCCCTTTGTGAAGGGGGCTCAGTAAAATCTTGCTAGCAGGAGCAGATATGGTGCCAGGTGAAGATCAGAGGATGAAGTTATCAATAACTGCTTCTCTGAGAGTAAAGAGATGGCTCAGGGTTAAAAGTGCTTGGTGCCAGTGTACAGGGCCTAAGGTTCAGTTCCCTGAACCTGTCCTCCACAGAAATCTATACACAATGTGCACATACCCACATGTGCACACATATACATGCATACATAATTCATGATAAAAGTAAATCTTTTTTGGTGGGGGTTGAGTCAAGGTCTCTCCATGTAGCCCTGACTGTCCTGGAACTCACTTTGTAGATCAGGTATCCTTGAACTCAGAGATCTGCCTGCCTCTGCCTCCCTAGTAATAGGATGAAAGGCGTGGGCCACCAGTGCCCATCTATAAAGTAAATCTTAAAAAGAAAGAAATAAAAAATATTACATGTAACAACTTTTTTGGGATTTTTTGAGACATGGTTTCTCTGTATAACTTTGTAGACCAGGCTGGCCGCGAACTCACAGAGTTCGAGTGCTGGGATTAAAGGTATGTGCCCCCACTGCCCTGCTCATCTAACAACTTTTATTGTAGCTCCTTTTCAGTATCATCAGAAGTAATGGTTTAAAAAAATATGGAAATAGATGGCCTTTCTGCTCTGCTTACAGATTTTTTACCAGTGAACGAAGCTACTCAGGCAGAGACAAATAGGAATGTAGGAAAAATAAAATGACAGCTTAAATTGACTTGGGAGATTCGGCTGTCAGTAAAGGATATTTAGTAAAATGGATCCTTTTTAAAATTTGTTTTTATGTATATTTGGGTGCATGAATGTGTGTGTGAATACTATGTGTGTGCCTGTGCCCAAAGAGGCCAGAAGAGGACATTGGGTCCTTTTGAACTGGAGTTCCAAGTAGTTGGGAGCCACCTGATGTGGGTTCTGGGAACCCTAAGCCATCTCTTTAGTCCCAGTGATGCAGTTCTTGATTGCTACATCCTTTAATCTTCACCTGGCACCACACCTGCTCCTGCTAGCGGGATTTTACTGAACCCCCTTCACAAAGGAGTTAATCCATACGTGATTATGGATTGCATGAGATGCTTCTGAAATGATG